CTTGTGAGAGCTTTATCCCTCACTCACTTCTTGATTAGCCGTTTTCTTTTTGCTTGTGTTTACCCTTTCGATTGTATGGGTTCCCTGTAATAATCCTACGGATGCTTAACAAGCACTGATCATGAAGTACGAATCACGAATCGCGAATCGGAAATCACGAACCGACAATCACGAACGCAACATAAGTACTGGATCACACTGGTACTACTTGCACGCAGTATCCCACATAACGGAGACGCGAGGAAAAGGCCACCGGAATAGCAGTTTCTTTATTGAAAGAAGTCAGAAGGATTAAATAATATGTACAAAACAAACTCATTGGTCATGCAAGCCTCTGTCAATGACATGATACTATTTCTGGCGTCATTCATCATCCGTCTGGGGCGTAAGGTTTGTGACAGGGTTGATACAATCGGTCTATGGTTTGTAGTCCAGACGCTGTGCAATGTCCGCTCATTGCCGACTTTATCTGGGAAGTTTGATCCACCACAGTTGTCCTAAAACTGTAACGTGTCTCTTCGTGGTGTGCGTCATCTTTTAAGCCAGGATCACCATAATGTTCACAATGGACATGGTGCCGAGCCTCTCGCAATGTCGTGAAGTTGTTTTCCACCGACATCAAAAAGTGATGGTTCTGCATATTTTTGTATTTAACGCAATCCGGTCACGAAAATGGCTATGTATAGTGAGAAGTGATGTTTGCCCGTTGTTGGATTTTGTGCTGTTATTGGACGGTCTATTTTTTCTCAATTCTGCAATTGATCCTCCAGACACACGGCGTCTTTTTGAACTGTATGATTGGAAAATGATCACTACCGTTGGTCTATGACCCGATGTCCGGAACCTGGGACGCTTAGGAACTTGGCCGGCATCATCTCGGAGGGCTGAAACACCACAGTTTTTACCAGAAAATGGGCCACATTCTTGTATCTCATTCTCCAATATAATAATGTGGTCATTGATTCAAAGATTTTACTCAAGTGACTAGCTTTTTAGTGTATAGCAAAACGGTCTGATGAACTGCCCTATGGTCCATTGGATAGTATACTTTCGTTCTATCCGTCTGTTCTCGAGTTCGCTCCTCATTTTTGGATCAAGGGATTCCTACAGATGATGGTATTCACTCAGATTGAAACAGCTGTCCCAGCGCTTCATTCCACGCTTCATTTGTGCCGGGTACACGATGAAATTCACCATATTACTACTTGATTAACATATGCGGTACGGAATGGTTTTTACATTTCACTGTTATAAACAGTTGTGCCTTGAAGCACGGTCAGATTTTTTATCAGGACAATATCCATTACCCTACAAATGCTCCTAGAAATGAGGCCCTTATGAAACCAATCGACGTTGTTTGGGGCTCTCTCTCTGTCATCCTCAGTTCACCGTTACGAATAAGTTTCCGCAGTGAAAACAATTCTTCAAAAGTCACTTCAAATTTTGGGAAACTGAAAATGAGCACAAAAATACCTTTCACCTTTAAGCTTTCGATTTGGGTAAATACAAAGGCTAAATCACTTTATATGGAAGAAGGAACCTTGTGTAGATTTGGCCTTTTAGGGATTGCAAATTGCAAGATGTGTTTACGTTTTTTATTGCACACCGTTTTATGTGTGATGCTAAACAGCAGACGGGATGCATCCCATAGTCACAGAAACCTGCTTATCAGTAATGATAATTAGTAAACTAAATCCCATGGGACTTGGTGTGACGAACCATACTGAGGGCCCGCTAGGTCAGGCGTGGTATTGACCTCAACGACAGCAAAGCCACCTACCACCAAAATATGGTGGCGGTGGCGGGACTCGAACCTTGGACCATGAGATCCAAGGCACGCCAATGAATAGATCAGGACACCACCATCGTGATGCCAACAAATTTTTTGTATCCGAATTGTGCTGTTTATCAACGGTTTATATGAACAATAGAGAGTGGTGGTATCAAAATTTGTTTTGTGAGTGAGAAACTATGTTACCATGGTCAAGTCATCAAGTTTACCGCCAATCTCGAACAGAATTCACTTGCAGAGTGCTTTGAACACTGTAAGAACAAGTCTGATGGTTGACAGTTAGCACCCTAAACGAAAATATCTATGTCAAACGGAAGTTAGTCTTTTTTTCTGTTTATGGCCTTGAGTGTGGATTACACAACTTAGGAGTTGGGTAATGCCTCAAAATTAGTTAGTTCTACTGGCAACGAATGGCCTACAGAAAGCCTCTGGGTTTCAGCTGAGGTGTAAGTGTCTCGGCCGGTGGTCTTGACGTAGATTATACATAGTTTGAAACTGAAACCCCGTTTATCGCTGAGCAACACGGTCGACTGGCGACAACAACTTGAGCTGTTGGGTAAATCGGTTTAAGATCTTATATTTGGTTTTGGTAACTGTTGTGACCTACGCTTGACTGTAGCATGTTTCTTATATGCCTATGATCTGCTTGATTGGCCGGTGCTGTCTGCTACCACACACACCTCATACAGACTAACTTCATCAAAATATCGATCGGCTCCAGCCAATCTGATGGATTGCCAGCGCGGATTGATCCGTTGATTGTTTGAATGCCTGCCTGACCGCATTCGGAAGTCGTGTGTGCGTGACGCCTGAGCCGTTTTTCGGCCTATCCACTCACGTACCTACGTGTTTCAGTGGACTAAGGACCGGTTACATCTTTTTATCGTTTCATCTTTCCATTTTTGTCTCCTTTTTGTTGAATATACAAAGATTCAATTTTCAGGAAGAGGGAAGCGGTCAGTCAAAGGGCTACCGTTTAGTACACACTGGTGATGGGATTCGAATACACTTCCCCTGGGTGATAATTTGGTGACGTTACCACCGGGCCGTCATCAATTTCACCACAAATGTGCTACCATAATAAACACACTGCCTGATTCACGGCGGGCTTATTTACGTACCTAATTGGGATACAAAAGTAACGGATTGGAATTTCACAGGGATCAGACACCTTAATAGTTCTTCCTCAATTTATCTCAAACATGATCATATTGGTTAGTCCCATAACCGATACCAATTCACTGTTCCCAATCCACATGTTTGTTGAAGGTTGATAGGCTCAAACGGCTGATTCTAGAACGGGATTCATAGACCGTCGTTAATTGAATCTATCGGTAGTCGGTTAATTGAATTGTTATTTTCTCTGTTATACCTGTACACTCCCGGGATTGTGAAGAACACAACTCACTGACCTGGAACAGGCTGATTGTAATTGTGTCAAAACGATTTACAAGGCCAACATCTGAAAAAAGAAGATCAATAAAACTTTGGGTCTTTTGATGATGGCGGAATCAAAGGTAAGGCTGATGCCATCTGATGCGAGTGAGCTGCGGCAGAATTTAAATTCCCAATATGGCTTCTGACTAATCAAATGTGCAAAAAACAATTAGAAAAACGAAACCAACAAACACTAACAGAATATTGTGTGTCTAGATCCCCGGTTCATTTTCAATGAAAAAAGAAGGGGTACAAAATTGTATCCCTATATTTCTGACAAGACTTTCCGAAATAAGTACTGATGAATATGTTCGTTCTGACCGAATAGCAGAAGACATTTTTATTCCGCGTCTATCGAATGTTGCACGATTCTCCGATCGACGTCGTCCGATTAATTGTAAGCATTTTGTTCAACATTGTTTCCGTGCTGTCTGCTCGCGTACACCTTTAAAGAGGCTTTGGGTACAAAGCACGATTGGGTTCACATTGTACCGTCGCTCGAGATCTTTCCCTAGCTGAATCACAAGTGTACATCTCTCACGGTCTGGTAAAATTACAACATCGCATGACCTTAATATATGTTCCATTGGTTCTATAGTTGACAAATCCGGATAAATACGGGGTATCAATTCGGTGAATTTGTGTAACAGGTTTTCTCGTGATGATTAGTGAACACACATTTTACAATCTGCTATTCTTCATCGATCAATGAAAATGTATTCAAAAGCGCGCAAGCGAGATGTTCCTGTCACCACTCGACGTTTCACCCTACATTCTGTATTGTATTACTTTTTTCATTTTGCACACATTCGTTGTGAATTCAAACCCTCCCACCATCACTGGCATGTAATTTTAGTGATGAATCGAGTTCGACGAAAAATCGTGTGAAAGTTCTCATGTATCTGTCACACTATAGACCGTGTACCTCGGACTATTCGTTGCCCAAAATTCAACTAGATATCACGCACACCCATAAAAGCATACACTCTCGCGGTCTGACTACCGCTGTGCGCAATGGTTTTTACTCATGATGGATCGATCATATATTCAGTGTATCTGTTTTATTGATTTTCATCAATCGGAACTTTAGCTTCTGGTCACGGTATGGTTTTCCGCACCACTTTTGTGCCCTTCGATCTAGATGGCTTGTTTGGCTCGCTGATTTGGTCTACAGGGAACGATCAAATAACTGTTTTCCCGCACACATCACGGAGACATAACGAAACGCACAGAGCCATGAGATAGAGTGGGTGTCTCGCGCCTTCTCGGCTGGGCTCCGTAACTGATTGGTTGGATGTACTGAAAGACGTGCGGATGAACCGATAACAGTAGCGTTCTTGTGGGACTGGAATACTTCAGAATGTGTGTGTGTGTATGTGTGTGATCTGTATATTGATCATGGTGCTTTTCCTCCCTCCAACCCCTGGCCAACTGGCACATTCTCAGTTATTGCTGTACATTGTGAGCTCGGCAGAGAAAGGTGGAGTTCACTTCATTTTATTTCGTTGCACATTGATGAGGAAGAGGACGATGGTGACGACTCGTATGGGGATGATGATGAAAATGACTGGTGTGGTAATGATGACGACTCATATGATGACGATGATGTTGGTGATGACGATGACTCGGATGACTCGGATGACTCGGATGATGATGATGAGGAGGATGATGATGATGATGATGATGATGATGATGATGACTCGGATAATGATGACTCGGATGATGATGTTGATGATGGTGATTTGGATGATGATGATGATGATTCGGATGATTCGGATGATGATGATGATGATGATGATGATGATGTGATGATGATGGAGATTCGAATGATGATGATGATGATGATGATGATGATGATGATGATACCAGGTTATGAATTGCGGAGTGGATTGTGTCAGTTGAGTTATCGAATGGAATGAATCAAAGTTTGGTTGCCGAGGTGATATGTTTAGTTATATCAGAGAGGCAGAGTGCAATTCTGATTAAACACAATTCACCACAATAATCTGAGTTACAAGCTTGACGACATTTCTGTGGTAACCTGCGTAAATCGGATGCTTCCACAGATGACGCAATGGCCCAATCAATTTACTGGTACTGTATTAATGACGTTTTCGACAATACACAGATGTGCATCGTGGATTACTCGCATTAGGAGCGACAGGAAAGTGCTGGTAAAACCCTTGTGAGTCTGAACAGGCAAATTAGCAGACAAACAATGTACGAGAGGAATTCTTTTCTTATGCTTTCACGTACGTATGATATTAAACAAGAGAAGCGTGTAAAGACGTCGTATAGTTAGTTAATAAGCTATAGAAAGTTTTGTGATGACAGACCAAGAGCACTGGACAGTTGTTTCGTCCTGTTTGAGACTCGTCAGTGATGCAAACGTTTTTGTCCCTGTCAGGACTCGAACTGGAAACATTCGGTTTCGGACTTCAAACCCTTAACCCTGAGTTACATGGTCGATGCATTCAACAATTGGGGAATTTCCCCAGGAGTGAAACCCATGCGCGAGACCATCAACAGTGCCTGGTGCCTGTAAACCATCGAAATGCGTTATTTCAAATTCGCTACTCCTAAGTCTATAGTTGGGTCCATCGCATGTGTGTGTTGCACATGATCAGTTACAATGGGGGTAGGCCAAGGGCAAAGGTCATTCGGTTTTGACACACAAAGAGGATTTTTTATTTGAGAGATCAATAATACCTCGAGTATCCCCAATCGGTGTTTGTCGCTATTACATAAGAAAACCGAGAATGCATTTCCATGGTGCACCATGTGAGTCTGATCAATCTGCAACTAAAAAGATCCCAAACGATTGGCTGATCATTAAACTATTTAATCACCTGCTGTCTCACTGTAACGGTTTATTGCCCATTCGGTTTTCTTTCTATCTCCTCGTGTTTACGTCGGATCAGATTTTTTTTCAATGACTACTCGGAAGATAAACTATTCTGCCCAGGTCAACGCAATCTGACCTTAGAAACCAATGCACCCCTACGATCGTATCAAGAGAACCCCCTAAAGCGATCTTTTCTAAGGCACAAGCGGCAAGAAGCGTTTTTCCCTCACTTAGAGAAACACAATTTTTGTTTACGTTGATGCTGTATATTTATCGTTTGATTGTGTGTCACAAGTGTATTCCGAAAAAAAATGGTACACAGTTTGCAACTGTAGTCATTTGTTACACTGGATAAATTTATAAACGATTAAATGATTAAACGTAGTGGAAATTTGTATTCAAAAAGCGATAATGTTTGGTTTGAAATAAATTCAATATACTTGATGAATATCAGTTGAGTCTCAGTTTCACATACACGCAGATTTGTATAATAAAGGATATTAGTATTCAGTGTTGTCTTCTCATCTTCGCAGACAACGAGAAAAGCTGCCAAACACTTAAAGCTCACAGAAATCCTGTCACCCAGAGATCAATAATTAACTTATGCACTGTTTCTTTTGTACTATGTGCGAAATGCTCACGAATCAGATCGGTGACCTATTTTATCACTAGGATGTCAGAAAAGAAGCACGTGACTATGATTATCTATCGATTCAGTTGTTTTTGTGGTTCGAAGAAGCATTCACGCGTCAAAGAACATAATCCACATAGGTTCACACATAATAGGAATAAAGTTGTGTCAAGCTTCATTGTCGCTATTTTGGTAGAGACGGGGCACTCGGATTGACTTGCATTCAGCGTTCAGTTACCATACACACCCTCTTTGAGACACGTCAGACTTGGCTGCTAGCCACCGAAAAAAAGGTGATTAGAATCCGTCCCATGAAGCCTGAACTGAGCACACAACGCAAGATAATTGAAATACTGACTACCCCGCCCCCCTCCCGAAAGATGGGTTCGATCCCCAGTTGGGTCGGTGGATTTGCACAGCTGTCCAGTGCTTCCCAGATTTTCAGCTCACGCCTGATCTACACGACGAACTCATCATGTAAGGATAAAATAGCTCGTGTAAACCACATGACAGGGTCAATCTCCATTCCGGAATCTAAGCGGTGCACTATACCTTTTCAACTTCAATTGAATCCATTGTAACTTCAAGTGAACCCAACCAATCGCATTCTATTGGGGACCCGCAAAGTGATTGGTTCTTTTACCGTCACACGTCACCGATTGGACCGGGTCAGTCGAAACCCCGTCCCGTCGGAGTGAACTAATTTCTCCATAGGCAAACAAAAGTACTTTTTAAGTGAGTTACCAAACCGAAATGAAAGTTTCCGTGGGGTGGGGTGGGGTGGGGTTTGGCTGTTCGAGCCCCCCCCCCCCTTGCTCCGACCGGGTACGTTATGTCCTTCACCGTTTATCGTGTGAACTTTAGGCGATAATGAACAAACTCTGTGGTAATTGGCCTCGGTGGGCGAGTAAGGAAGGAATCACCTCAAAACGGATCGATAAATCGGTCACCATGCTCAAGCGTGAATGTCCGAATGAATCATTGCATGGGTGGGGATTTATTATCTAGGCCCTCAGTAGCCTAGTGAATAAATTTCATTGAAATAGAGGTCCCATCAAATGACAACTCTTTCCTTTGAGCCAAATGCATTTGCCTACATATTTTTGGCATTGAAAGGCACATTGGACATGATACTTAACATTGGTACAAGGATACGATGAAAGAATTAACAGTATTACACCTGAATAGCTAGATCGAAATTGAACTCGTTCACTAACAGAAATTACATTCTTTTTCTGTACCTCTCGGAATGATCGTTGCGTTCTATCCACAATGCCCACGGCAAAAACCTATCATAATGTTGGAGTGGTTTCGGACTCAATGCAACACACATGAGTCACCCATTTCTGTTTAACCTTACTCAGTTTTGTTTCATCTACTCATGATTTAATGGGCTTTGTAAATGAATCCATGGAAAAATTAGGCAAATGTGAAACGTATAAAATACTCACAAAAGTGCCAAGTGATGGGTCTAATCGGAAAACATTATCTATGACCACCGATGAATTGTTTGCGGTTCGTGATAAACTGTGACACTTGCCAGAAATTGTAGCAGTCGAAGTAGGCACACATCACCGATTACGAATCACAAATCACGAATAATGGACGCCGTGGAACTACTGAATTATACAATCAATTGTAAGATTGTATCTCCCATCACCCAGCTGCAAGGAAAAGGCCACAGAAGTAGCATTTCGTTTAATGAAAGAAATCTAGGGGGGAGGGTGACATAAAATGCACAAAAGAAGTTTATTGGCTGTACGGGCATCCACCAATCGTCTGCAGGCTTTCTTGATGTCACACAGATTCTGTCTGGACCGCGGTACTTCTGATTGGTCGGCGCAATTGGCGTGTGGTTCGCTGTTCAGAAATTGAAACGCGTAGGCGCTTGGCTGACGTCACCTGGGCAGGTTGACTCATCACAGTTGTCTAGAAAATGTAACGAGTCGCTCCGTGGCTGGAGTTATCCTGTGGGCCAAGATCACCAGAGTCTAATCGGAAGACATCGTTCACGATCAACGGGGGATTTCTTGTGATTCATGCTAAACTGTGACACCGCCAGAAAGAATTTTAAAAGCCTGTCTTTTTACCCTGCTAAAAGCATTGATTGAAAGCAAAAAAATTCTGACAGTTTTACATTTTCTATCTAATACAGACGGGAAGTATTGTGACAGCAGTTTAGGCGTGAACCGAGAGCACCCCAATGAAGAAACCGGTTAGGGGATCAGCAGATGTGATATGACTCGTTTTGCGTAGAGGAGAAGTTTTTCAAACACTTTTGGGGACAGGTGGGGTGGAATCTCGAGGTAGCATACGTTAGAACTGACGTGATACTGGTAATCGATTGACAATTCGTTATCTTCCTTTCAATATACGGAAGCCAGCCAGTACTGCAATATATACTTTTATTAACATAGTTTAGGGACTCTTGTTATTCGGTAATTGTACTGACAATTCGATCTAAGTGCAGTCTGCCGAAATGAACTTCACCCGATCTGGAGCGCTGTTTGAAATAGAATACACATCGAAACACTATGAGGCTTCATTGCACCTCATATTGGTACAAGGTGGGTGACAGACTGTATGATGAACAAATAAGTTTGGATTTGAAAACAACAGGTTTCGACAGACAACCCTCAACAATGTAGTAGTGATGACTATCGGGAGAAATGTTTGCCCCGGAGAGAACCATTGGAATTGTTCTAGTTATTCAATGTCCACAAATGACGATCGAGAATGTATTCTAATTAGGGAAATCTCCTGTGGTTATTTGTGTCATAGTCCTGATTACGGAGTGATCAACACAATCGCAGCAATTGTCCTAGAGTTTTGAGGGTTTTGAATTTTTAGCTCCCCAGCTTCTTCATTCCTATGAACCAGGAGGTACACTTCATTCCAAAGAACTGACTGTACATTTATCTGTTCAATCATCATATTCTATGGTGCAGTTTTCACACATAAGTAATCAGGGTTCAGTTTTACGCCTACTAGTATAACTGCCACTCGATTAGTGCAGTCTGGAGTGAGTGGTGTTGATCGAGCGGTGGGATTGGCTGCTACCCAACCCCGGCGGATCACATGATTCAAGGTCGAACCTAACTGATTGGATGCGCATCGAATGTAGATCTTCAAATCAAATGAATCAGCCCCGATATGCATGGGTGATAATGTCTGTTCTTCTTATTACTACGATTTTAAGAGACACAATAGACAGTCATGTGAGTCTCTTAGACTGTGAACACGTGTATGTGTGTGTGTGTGTGTGTGTGTGTGTGACCACTTGTATGTAACAGCTTCGCTTGAACCCGCTTCCAAGATGCTGAAAGCATCATCCCTTTAGACCGAGCATAGAATGATTACGACATTGTGTGCAACCCAACGATTCTTGTTGTTCGCATGGATGCCGAGAAATGTTGACTGAGAGAGTATGTGACCGATAGACACAAAAACGACGCACACTGATGAGATGCTGAAACGGGGTTCAAAAAGTGCCCACAAACCCCTAGGGGAATTGTACCGGACCGGTGAATAGTGAAGTTGACCAAACATTCCTATCCGGTTTTTTTTTCGTCTTCAAATGTATCATATGAATGGTTGATCAGTCCGTCTGTCCGCGTCCAATACACAACCAGAAAACAAAACATTTCTTTTGGAAAAACAACAGACAGTAAGCACATCAGATTTGCCACCGATATCCTTTGCCCCCGGTCAAAACAGTTCTTGTTTGAACGAACTGACTGGAGCTTGATGTGCAGGGATCGAGCATAGGGATGCAAAAATTGTCAGATTCTCTGACAACTTTAAAACGATCAATGTCCACACACCCCCCCGCGAAAAAATAGTGTTGTTGATGGGTTGAGCGCGGACAAAAACAACTGTCCCCCAGTGAACGCAAACACATTACATAATTTCTTATTCAGGAAATCACCTGCAAAGGTCTGTCGCAAAAGGCATCGCATCAAAACCGAAAGAACGAGGACACATGTCGGGAGATGGTAAAATTTGGTTCAATCTTCTCAATCGCTGATGTAAAACGAATAGGCACAACATATACAGCACACTAGGCTGA